TAAGATGTAATACTATGTACAATAAACATTCATTAAAATAAACATAATTACCCTAATACGGATATATATATATATATATATATTTACATAATATGCATGCAAATAAACTATTTAATATTTGTTATATATCTATTATCTATTCACTTGCTTATTATTATTTATATTTATTTATTATTTAATATTTATTATTTATTTATTTATTTGTTTTTCTCTTACGATAATTTTGAGGGCTTCGCTTTGTGCGGCGATTTCAATCAGCAGCTCCAACTGCTGCTCTGCAGCAACACAAATACAATGCATGCGTCTGCTGCTGCTGCTGCTGCTGCTTGTGGTGCTGCTAGCAGGTTCTATGCTGCTGCTGCTGTCTACGCGGCTGCGATTGCAGCAGCACAAACAGCTTGGTGCAAGGGTGCTACTGCCGCTGCAGCTACAGCTGCTGTTGTAGCTCCAGCTGCTGCTGCTGCTGCTGCTGCTGCTGCTGCTGCTTACCTTGAGAGAGACAAGAGAGAATGCAGCGAAGTTTCGTTGCGCCTAGACGGCCCCCGAGGGCCTCTGCAAGTCGCTGGCGGTTTGCTGCAGTTTGCTGCAGCCACGAATTATTTTCTGCTGCTCCCTCCTTGCTGCTGCTGCTGCTGCTGCTGCTGTTGCCGCAGCTGCTGCTGCTGCTGCTCTCTTCTCCCGCCGTCTCCACCAAACAGCAGTCCGCATCTAGTACACATAAAAACACAAACCCTAAACCCTAAAGCATACACCCTAAACCCTAAACCCTAAACCCTATCTAGAGAGGCGACCTACAGCAGCATCCTCCTGGAGGCGTGGGTTTGATTATTAGTTCAAGGGTTTAGGGTTTAGCCCTCGAGGGTTGGCGGTTGGGGGGTTTATTAGGGTTTAGGGTTTAGGGTTTAGGGTTTAGCAATTACATTCTCTTTTTCGGTGTGCTTTTGCTTTCTTCAAAAGTTGCGACCTGCAGACACAAACATAAAATATCATGAGAGGAAATACAAACAAAAGCTGCTGCTGCTGCTGCTGCTGCTGCTGCTGCTGCTCTTGATGCTGCTGCTGCTGCTGCTGCATACCCCGAAAGCTCAGGGTTTTCTCCCTCTAGGGGCTGAATAGAAGCAGCAGCAATAGGAGCAAATGCTTCCTGTAGAAGTTTGTCTCTGCTTTGAGGTGTATGCGCAGGGTCCTTCTGTGCTGCTGCTGCTGCTGCTTCCACTGCTGCTGCTGTCGCTGCTGAAAAGGATGCCGCACTGCCTCCAAACGGCAGAGACAACGCAGGCCCTTGCTGCTGCTGCTTCTGCTGTTGCGGCTGCTGCTGCGGCTGCTGCTGCAGCTGCTGCAGCAGCAGCTCGTGCCGCTTCCTGTTCTCCTCCAGAGCTTGCACAGTAGCAGCCCTAATCCTTCCTCTTATTTCTCTGTACAACTCAGCCCCAGTGCTGCTGCTGCTGCTGCTGCTGGTAATAGCAGCAGCAGCAGCAGATGCTTCTCCACGTGCTGCGGCGACTTGGGCTCTGGCTGTGAACGGCAGGAAGGAGAAGCCATCTAGGTGCTGCTGCTGCTGCTGCAGTAGCTGCTGCAACTCCTCGTGCTGCTGCTGCAGCTTCTCTTGCTGCTGGTGCAAGAATTCCTCCTGTGGTTGCTGCTGCTGCTGCTGTTGTTGCTGCTTATCCTCATCTGTAGGAACAGCCTCAAGTGTTTCCTGTAAAGCCTCTCCCCTGCTCTTCTTGCGCTGCTGCTGCTGCTCCTGCTGCTCTTGCTGCGAAGCAGACAGTCTTGCCGCTGCTGAAGAGAAGAAAGTGCCGGCAGCACTCTTTGCATCTCCGCTGCTGCTGCTGCTGCTGCTGCTGCTGTCGTCAGTGCTCTTGCTGCTGTTGTTGCCAGTGTCCATACTGCTGCTGCTGCTGCTGCTGCTGGTTTGTGGCTGCTGTTCGCTCTCTGCAGCCTTAGCAGGCGTTTGCTGCTGTTGCTGCTGCTCCTGTTGCTGCTGCTGCTGCAGTGCAGTCGCGTTTGCTACGGAGTTTGTCCTTTCGCTTAATTCTTGAGGAGCCTTATCTGCTGCGCCTTCGCTATCATCGTCTTCTTCGTCTGCTGCTGCTGCTGCTGCTTCTTCTTCTTCTTCATCTTCATCTTCATCTTCATCTTCAGCTTCCTCTTCTTCTTCTTCGTCTGTCTCCATTCCTTCTTCCTCAATACTATACTCCTCAGAGCCGTCTGTTGTTCCTGCTGCTGTTGCTGCTGCTGTTGCTGCTGCTGTTTCTGCTTCGTCTTCAGGCTCGCTGTTGGGCGTTGACTCGAATTCCTCTCCGTCTGTTGCTGCAGCAGCATCTGCTGCTGTTGCTGCTGCTGCATTCATGTCGTCTTCATCTTCTTCTTCATCATCTTCTTCTTCTTCCTCTTCTTCTTCCTCTTCATCTTCTTCGTGCTGCTGCTGCTGCTGCTCGTGAGAGTTGTTTGAAGGGCCCCCTTCTGCTTCCTCTTCGTCGCCTGAATCCCCGGTAAGATCTACACACACCTCCTCCATCTTCTGTTGCTGCTGCTGTTGCTGCTGCTGTTGCTGCTGCTGTTGCTGTTGCTGCTGCTGTTGCTGCTGCTGCTGCAACTACAGTTGCTGCTACTGTTGCTGCTGCTGTTGCTGCTGGTGCAGCTGCTGTTGCTGTTGTGGTCGGACTGCAAGGGACCCTTGATGCTGCCGCTGCTGCTGCTGTTAACTCTATTGCTACTGCTGCTGCTCGTACGCTGCTGCTGCTACTGCTGCAGCAGCAGCAGCTGGCGTTTATTTACAGTCGAAGCCTCGTTTCTGTTGCTGTTGCTGCTGCTGCGGTTGCCCCTGGAGTTGCTGCTGCTGCTGCTGCTGCTGTTGCTGCTGAGTTCTTTACCAGCCCCTGAATTTTCTGCTGCTGCAGCATTCATACAATAATATCCACACAAACAGAAAATACCGGAATACACCAGCAGCAGCAGCAGCAGCAACAGCAGCAGCAGCAGCAGCAGCAACTGTGTCGTGGGGCCCTGGGGCCCGCGTGGAGGCAGCCGATAGTTTTCGGAGTCTGTCTTTAATTTGTTTTTCTTTTTTTTGCATTTATTCGTGCTTACAGTAGTACATATTGCTGTTGATTTTGCTGCTGTTGCCGCCTGTGCTGCTGCTGGCCTTGCTGCTGTTGCTGCTGATCCTGGCTTTACTGTTGGCTTTGCTGCTGCTGCTGGCTTTGCTGCTGCTGGTGAGTTTGCTGCTGCTAGCTGCTGTTGTTGATTTCACCTGTGTTGCTAGTTGCTACTGCTGCTCCCACTGCTGCAGCTAGCTGCTACTGCTGCCCCTGCCCTTGCTGCTGCTGCTGCTGCTGCTACAGGTAGAACACTTCCCTCTTCCTTAGCAGGGTTTTAAGGTTTAGGGTTTAGGGTTTAGGGAAGTACAGCCGTTGCATGCAGTGTTTGTACAGACAGAAGCGATGGTTGCGTTGGGTTTGCTTGCGCAGCAGCCGCGCAGCAGCACAACAGTCGCTCAGCTGCTGTGGTGGTGCTGCAGGAGCTCAGCAGCAGCATCACAGCAGCAAAACAGCAGCACAGTAGCAGCAGGACAGCAGCAGCGAGATGCGCTGCAGCAGCATTCCGGGTGTCTGCTCTCCGCTTGCTGCAGCGGAGCCTCAGGCTGCTCTTTTGAGAGGAAGATTTTATAAATGAGAATATTTATTTTGTTTTGCTGCTGCCCGCGATAGCGAACAAAATATAGCCGAGTACTCTTGCTGCTGCTCGTGCTGCTGCTTGCTGCTGCAGCAGCTGCTGTTGCTGTCGCAGCTGCTATCCCCTGATACGGCTAGCTCTTGCTGCTTCCAGCTCCTGCTCCTAGCTGCTGGTGCCAGCTGCCGCTGCTGGGTCCTGCTGTTGCTGCTAGCTGCTTCTGCAGGCTGTTACTGCTTGTGCTGCTGCTGTTGCAGTTGCTGCAGCTACAACGGTGTATTGGGGCTGTGTGCTCTCTGCTGCTGCTGCTGCTACTACAACTGTTATCGCTGTAACAGTAGCATGCACTTCAGTGGGGGGTGTGCGTGGGGCCATTCCTACTGCTGCTGTTGCTGCTGCTGCTGCTGCTTCTAGAAAGCCGTTTCTTTAGCACGACAGCTAGTCTGCCAGCTAGCTAACTAGTTAGCTAGCTACCGAGCTAGCCATCCACATATATATAGATAGATATAGCTAGCTAGACAGTTAGCTATGCTCTCCTATACCGGGGACTCCATTCGCTAGCGAGAAACATTCAACTCGAAGCAGCAGCAGCAACTGCTGCTGCAACAGAAGGTGCATCAGCAGTTGCAGCAGCAGTTGCT